AGACGTGAAGCAGAGAAACCAGCTGGGTTCATCGGATTTCTGAACTTCGGAACTGTCAGACAATAAAACTGCAGTGTTTTTAAGCCACTGTGTTTCCAGTTTGTGGCAAACTGTTACAAAAGCCCCAGAAAACTAATACAGAGCAGAAGAGTAAAGCACATGATGTCCCTTTGGTTGGATCATTTCCGTATCATTGGGATGATGGGCCTAAGATGTCTTTGCAGAGAGTAATGACAGGGTTTAAAAATAGGGTAGCAAGTCTCTGGCGGTGACACACTGAGTTTCCTTCCCTGTTTATAATGCCCTCTCCAGAGCTCCACACTGCCTAGCTCAGGACTTCTCATACTCTCAAATGCACACAGATCCCCCAGGGAGACTAGGAATCGGGCAGCTCCTGCTTCATTGGTGCTGGGTAGACCTGAGAGTGTGCATTTCTAACAAGCTCCTGGCGATGCTGGGGCTGCTGAGCCACCAGGACACTCGGAGCAGCCTGGAGAGGCTATGCTTCCTGGGGAAAGAGCAGACCAGGCCTTCTACCATCTCCTTCTGCCACTCTCTCCACCCTCATCCTTTGTGCCGCTGTCACTATAGGCCCTTCAGGATGGAGATTCATGCATCTCATTGTGGATGGATTTGCAGAGCATGAGAGACAGTCTGAAATATAACAATTGCTCAATAAAGATTTGTCACATGAACAAATGAATGGCGATTGACTCTGAGCATCTAGAAAACAGAAAACAGCAGAAAGGGGAATCACGGGGCCGAGGGATGCAATGGGTGGGAGGCGGGGAGTAAACGGCAAAGGGGGAGGGCGGTCCCAAGAGTGGTCATTTGAGAGTCCCCTGAGCAACTCTTAGAAGTTAGAGGTTGGGGCTGGTGCTGTGGCAGAGTAGGTTAAACCTCTGCCTGTGGCACGGGCTTCCCATGTGGGTGCCAGTACGTGTCCCAGCTGCTCCTCTTCTGACCCAGCTCTCTGCTGTGGCCTGGGAAAGCAGTGGAAGATGGTCCAGGTGGTTGGGCCCCTGCACCTGTGTGGGAGACTTGGAAGAAGCTCCTAGCTTCTGGCTTCGGATCGGCCTAGCTCTGGCCATTACAGCCATTTTGGGAGAGAACCAGCAGATGAAAGACCTTTATCTCTGTCTCTCCTTCTCTCTGTAATTCTGTCTCTCAAATAAATAAATCTTTTTTAAAAAATTTTATAAAGAAGTTAAGGGTTTAGGTGACCAGGTGACAGCTTCCAGCCCAGAGGCAGACACACGCAATGCAGGCACAGTGGTTTCCTTTCCTCCACGTTCCATCCAGATCCGGCTGGCGACCTTGTCCTGCTGTTAGCATAAAGCCAGCAGAAGTTCAGATTCACACTCCTAGCTGCTGCACGGCAGCCTCATCAATGAGTGTTGTTCTGTGAACTTGGGGAAGGAAGTGAATGATGTATCTGCATGGCCGGCCAACAGAAATCTCAGCTGTGTCTGGTCTGGCATGAAAAGCCCTCCCTTTAATGGGGTGGGAGGTCAGCCCTGGACCGGGCAGCTTGTTTCCAGCTGGGCTTTGTTTTTGTTTTGGTTGCAAAGTCACCAAGACCTCCAGGGACACAAAGCAACTGTGGTTTTTTTTTTTTTTTCCTCTCTTTTTCTTGTTTTGTTCTAAATGAGTCAAACTTGCCAGGGACACAAAACTAAAGCCTGCCCACGATATTCTTACGCTTTCCTCACATCAAGCCAGGAGTGCTGCCAACAGTTCCTTTCCTTCTCCCACATGACCTCACATTCTGTAGCCCCGTAGCCATGACACTGTTTATAACCATAGGCTTCCAGAGCCAGTGAGGACAACCGTGCTGCTTATAAGAAAGGCTCTCCTGCCAAATCCTCCTTTTCGGTTGTCGCCGCTGTTTTTGGGCAGATCATTCAGAGAATGAGGTAAAGAGAACTGCCTCTTCTTACTTTTTTTTTTTCGTAGAGAACAAACATCTGGACTTTCCCCACCACTGACTTCAGCTTCATGACAACACTGAACATGTGACCTGGATCTATTTCAGGGAAAACTGCAAGAACCCAGGTTTTCACCCAAAAACAAGAAGTCCACTTATTTCTGTGTTTTTCTGCTTCTCGTGACCATGCAGCGCTCCCAGCTCTTCTGTTCATGGCTTGCTAGAGTAAGAAGGTCAGGCCAGGAGGTTTTGGAGAATTGAGGCCCTTTCTGCACCAGGGCATGAGTCATTTCTAAGAGGGTGTCCTGGGGAACCAAGCTCTTGAAGTTCGCCCGTTTTTTCCCAGTCTGACAGCAATCTTGAAAGGCTTTCAAAAGGTCAGTGGAACTCAATTTGAGGGTCCCTGGGCATGAGTTTGTGTGTGAGGCTTGGAAGGAAGGAGTTCATGGGAAAGCTATGAGACAGCTTCTGACTGACAAACTGGGGTGCGACCACCACAAGTGCGGCCAGTCTGATCGCAACGCCTCGTGTGCAGTGCTCTGCAAGCGACAGGAACACTGAGTTTCCATACCCGGGCCCATCCAGGGCGGTTCCTGAGGCTCAGCACATAGCTAAAAGCCCAGCACCCTCAGCGCTTAGGACCTGCTGCTTTCTTAGACATTCCCAGGGAAAAGCAACAACAAGTGTGTTAGCCTAATTCCAAATCCAGTGTTTCCAGTGTGTGGGTCTTACGATGTGTACAAGAAGTTCTGCTACGTGAAACCAACCAAACCATTTCACTGAGTTCCTTTCACAGGTGCTGGAGCACAGAGATGGGAGCGAGGGGAAACAGCAACAGGCCTGGGGATGTTTGGATGAAATCTGTCCAAATCCTGGCTATCCAGCTGCTGTGAGCCTGTTTTTCTGTTGAAACCAATATCAACTGGCCACGGTTCTGTGGAGGATGCTTTGGAACTGGGTGCGGATGTCCTGCCAGCGCCACTATTTTCCCTTTAGTGACATAAAGCTGTCCATCCATCATATTTCCCTGCTCCCAGAGGCTCTTAGGGAGAGTTTTAAGATCTCCTACCCCGTTACACTCTAAATTAGTTACCACAGGCAGTTTCCAAACCATTTTCTGAAGTTCTTAAAGTTAGAGTCAAATAGCCAATGTTCAAGACAAACCCCTCATTTGAAACCACGTGTGCTCAGCTGGCACAATGGCCAATTCCAACATAATCTCCAAGGTTTTCTTTAGCTCTATTTAAGTGGACACCAAAACCCCAATGGAGATCACCAAAAACTCCTCCCCAAATGTCAAGAATTTGGAGGGGGGGTCATGGCTTTGTCTGCTTTAACCTGAGACCTACAATGGGTATCTGTGCCACAAATGCCCCATCTGCCTGTGACCACCCTCAAAGAGAAAGAAAGTACAAAAATCTACAGTGGCATCCCTGGAGCCCACACAGCACCACATTTTTTTGAGATTTGTTAAATCTGATTAGTTGGTAGAATCATTTAGAAGATCCTATGGAATATGAAGTCTGTAGACTGGATTCAGGAGTAAATCCCATGATGAGCATCGCACATAGTTGAGTGGAAGATAAAGAAACGCTCTACCCAGTCTCACAGACAATGCCAGCATAAGGCCAATGAAGTTACCTGCTCCACAATGCCTCCCTCACTCCTCCATCTGCCCATCAAATGCTTATCAAGCTCCCGACAGGCCATACACCCTGCTCAGCACTGGCTATCTGATGCCAGACAAGAATGTTCTTGACTCCCAAGGCCAAATAAATAATATTTTGGAAACACATTTCTGCCTAGGACACGTCAACCTGGGGTAGGAGAAAAACCTGGAGATAAAATCATCCTGGCAGGCACACAGAATCACATGGTAGCTATAAAACATGCCTGCAAATTCATGGACACTTTTCCCACCCAGAAGGCATGGTCTCTATTCCCTGCCACGGGATCTGGGCTGGCCCCAGGAATGCATTCCTAACCCACGGAAAGCCAGAGAAGCAATACTGTGAAATTCTCACGGTTGAGCCAGAAAAGGCAATGTGGCTTCCACCTCAATTGCTGGGACACTTAAGAAGGCTGACTACTCTGAGGCCATGTGGAGAAGCCACCTGTGGACATCCCAGTCCATGGTCTTTGTCTTCATGTCCTCCAAGTCCAGGTGCCAGACAGATGAGAAAATGAGCCTTTGGATGATTCCAGCCCCCCAGCCATTGGACTTCATGGAATGAAGGCAGCAAGCTGTCCCTGAAATGCCCCTTCCAAACTCCTGACCCAGAGGATCCCAGGAATAGAGGAATAAGAGTGCCTGCATTCAGCCAGCGTCTTTCCTCTCTTCCTCAGATTATTTGAGCAGGGGAGTCAAATCATATCCCTGCCTTTCCCCTCCCAGGCACTACTGATAGACTCAGAACTAGTTACAGAATCAGTATACCCATTCTTGGAAATTAGGGAGTTAAGGACTTGGCCTAAAAACTCTTTCCAGGCAGCCCATCCCCTAAATATGTTGTTTAAGAATGAAGATTAATTCTCTGCTCTTAGATGACTCACTTAAGCTCTCAAAATTCAGCTTCTAGGAGTGGATATTTGGACTAGCAGTTAAGACATTGATTTGGATGCCCATGTCCCATACTGGAGTGCCTGGGTTCAATTCTGAGCTCCAGCTCCTAACTCCAGCTTCCTGCTAATGCAGACCCTGCGAGAAAGCGGTGATGCCTCAAGCAATTGGGTCTCTGCCACCCACACGGGAGACCTTGATGGAGTTCCCAGCTCCCAGACTCGGTCCAGCCCAGTCCTGGCTGTTGCAGGCAATGGGGCAGTCAATCAAAGGATAGGTTAGAGCTCAGTCCCCCTTCTTCCCCTGTCCCTCTCATTTTTTCTTCCTCCTTTCAAATTAAAAAATTCAGTTCCTATTATAGATAATGAGGATAACAGTACCCATCCATAAGGCTGTTGTCGAGATCACAGTGAGAGAATCCAGGTGAAGTATCTAGTGTGTTACAAATGCTCAGTGAATTTTAACTATTTTAAATTATGGTTTCCACAGAAAGAAGCACCTCTTGTGACTTACCCCTTGTAAGACTTGAAAGCTGTCATTGTTGGGTGGTGGGTCTTGGTCTGGATCAACACCAACTCTAAAGGTCACCAGGGAAGAAGACAAGGAGAAAAACAGAAAGGATTAGCTTGACTCGTGACAGCCATGCTGGCTGCAAGTAGCCAGGAGGCTGAGCATCTTCCCGAAGTAGAAGCAGTGGTTAGCTAAAAGGAGAGGAAGGCTGTCATGCAAAAGTCATGAGAGAAGTCACATAGCACATCAGATCCCAGAGGGTCGGACGGTTGCTAAGTCCTGTGTGCGTATGCCCAAGCCAGGCTTCTGGAAAACTGGCATGTGCTGGCAAACTGTCCATCTAGCTGTCTGCACCACGAGGTTCCAATGATTGAAATGTGGGCCCCTCTGCATGGTGCCCTTCCTCTTTGCTGTTTCCTCACCTCCACCCTGACCTGTTTTTCTGTCTCTAACACTGTATTATAACATTCTTCTTGTATTTAAGTGTTACAGTTTGGGTGTGCTTTTTGTGTGGGGCTATTAAGAGGTGGTTAGGCCTTTAAGAGGTGGGGCCTAGTGAGAGGTTGCTACCGCCTCCTCCTCTTGCTCTGGTTTCCTGTCTTAACAGCAGGATCTCTCCCTCTCCCATACGCTCTCACCATGATGCCATCCACCAGGAGGCGCTATAGTTGGGCGCCCTGGCCAGAATCTATGCCATGCTGTTTGGACTTCCAGTCTCTAAAACTATGAACTAAGTCAATTTCCTATCCCCCCCCCCCAAATTACCCAGCATCAGGTATTTCAGCATGATAATGGAAAACTAACATAACAGAGAAGTTGAATTTATAGTGAACACCTATATACCCAGCAGCACTAGTCAGCACTAGACTCTACCATTATTATATTTTCTTTATTACATATCTATGCATTTTTCTTATTTTTTGCGTGCACTCAAATAAAGTTTCAGGCATCAGTACTCTTCCCCTAAATGTTTCAGCATGCATATTGGCAGAGTTTCCCCTTGACCAAACCTTAGTCAAGTGCCTTTGGATCCTCTTCCCAGCTGGGCCCTGACTTTGGAGCTTCCATGTCCATCTTTGTATCACTCAGATTTAACAAGAGGACAGAATTTCTCACCCTTAATATCTGATGGGTTTCCTCATCCTCTACCATTCCCTAGGTGATGTCACATCAGCCTGGTCTGCCTTCAGCAAGCATCCAGTTAGGTCAGTTTAGTAAGAACCCCTAGCCTCTTCTCCCAATGTTTCTCCTTATTAATTTTCTACCTATCAATCAATCTCTCTCTCTCTCTCTCTCTCTCCAAAATCCCCATCCCAGTAATGCCAATACCAATCACAGTAGTCCTAAATAGTCTGCCTTCCTGGTTAAACACGTGCCACAATGTTTTCTTGAACAGTATTGTTGGAGTCTTGACCTGCTTTTAACTCTAGTGCCCTTACACCCTCTTGCATCAAAGATGACCCAAGAATGTACACATTTGAGAATAACAACTGAAGACAGAAAGAAAAAAATAAAAAGATCCACTTCTAACAAATTCCATAAAAGCTCTATGCATCTGATACTTTTCTATCCCAGCACTTTCTTCATCCTGAGGTAGAGAACTGTGACACAGATGACGTGGAAGACACAGGGCAGTGGCAGAGAAAGCAAAGATGGCAGGAAAACCCTGTATCTCCTCTCACTGCCTCCGGTGGTGCAAAGAAGGGACAGTGTCAGACAAGGTAAACCAAGAATAGCGCTATCAGCAGCTTAGGTGAGATCTAATCTTTCAGAGAGGCACTGGCTGGACACTGCCAGGCGTGTTCCGTGCAGTCTGGCACACTGCTGACTCCAGTGTGTGGATGATGGATGCACAAAGCCCCACGTGCATGTACGAACTTTGCCTCCTCTCCTTTCCTCTCCCTGTTCTGCGACAGCCAGGATCTTGATGTGCTCACCTTCACAAAGCCAACGTCTACTCTAATTCCAGGCTTGTTTAATTCCTACGAAGGGGGGGTCGGTGCTGTGGTGAAGCAGGTAAAGCTACTGTCTGTGATGTGGCATCCTATATGGATGTTGGTTTGTGTCCCAGCTGCTCCACTTCCAATCCAGCTCCCTGCTAATAGCCTGGGAAAGCAGCAGCAGATGGCCCAAGTGCTTGGGCCTCTGTACCCACATGGGAGACCTGGATGAAGCTCCTGGCTCCTGGCTTTGGCCTGGCCCAGCCCCAGGCACTGCGGCCATTTGGGGAGGGAACCAGCAGATGGAGAATCTCTCTTTCTCTCTGTCTTCCTTTCTCTGTGTAACTCTGACTTTCAAATAAACAAATAAACCTTTAAAAAAAATATCTACCAAGGCACATGTGCCTGGAAAGGGAGGATCAAGAAGGTAAGGGGGAAATAGTTAACCCAGACTGTGCTGAAGCGAAAGTTTAAAACTGCAAGATGAATGCATGTGTCCAGCAAATATTTACTGAGTGCCTACTATGCCTGGCAATGTTCTTAGCATTATTTTAGTTAAAGCTTCCAGTGTTCCTGATATCAGATTTCTTCCCCATGGGTCTAGGGGTTGATGGGATCCTTGTCTTAAATTAGATGAGCTTTGCTGCATATCCAGAGGCTCATTCCAAGCCAGCATTTCTGAGGGCTAGAGGCTTGTCCTGGCAACCAGAAGTTATCTAGGGATGCCTGAGAAACACATCTCACTGAGATCTTTTAGGCATGAAAACCTGCTGGGAGACCAGGATAAGCACCTGGCTCCTGCCATCGGATCAGCGCGGTGCGCCAGCCGCAGTGCGCCAGCCGCGGTGGCCATTGGAGGGTGAACCAACGGCAAAGGAAGACCTCTTTGTCTCTTTCTCTCACTGTCCACTCTGCCTGTCAAAAAAAAAAAAAAAACCTGCTAACTCAGGAGTCTAAGGGGCTGCTCCCCAAAAGTCATGCTGGAGCCCCATGCATGGAAACTGGCTAACATACCAACGTGGCAGAGGAGAGATCATATATTGAATTTCTAGCTGCTGCTCAACCTCACCTGTTTTTAAAAGTCTCTTAATGTACATTGATTGCATAGACAAAAATCCTCTGTGGTGGTTTTGTAAGATCAACAGGCACGAGTCCAACATCAGGCTTTGTTGTGTGGATGCTATAGCAGCACAATGTCACTTCATGCCAGATTAATTTAGTTAAGATGAGCTTGGGGTTGCACACTCCAATCTGTTACTGCTCATCTCTCTGCACTAGGAATCCAAAAGAAGTGCATTAGCTTTACTAAGTGGCTTCTATGTCGGTGAAGAAGAAACTAAATGCCTTTATCAGCTTAGATGAAATGGAAGCCTATGGATGGGGGAAAGGCTTGAAATGTGCCTTACACTAATACAAAGAAAATAAAGACAAATACAGTAAAAGCTGCCAAATGAAATTTAGCTCCTCCTATTCGTTTAACTACTCTATAGTAGGAGGAAAAATACGTTTAGCGGGAATTAAAATAAATTCTGTTTAAAAAGATCTGCTTATAAAGACTGGATTTGGACTATTTTCATTCAAGTTCTAGAAACGTCAGTGGAAAACAATCTATTCATCCTGGGCCCCAGCGGCCAGGTCAGAATTTGAAAGCCCAAATCTTTGGAACAACACATCAAAATCGTAAAATTGGGATCACTCTAATCTCATCCCAAACCTGTGAGGTTCACCGTTCTGTTCTGGGGGAACTCAAGAGTGATTCCAGATCTGTGCTGTGCAATGGAACTTTCTGCCCTGCTGACAACATTCTGTACCTACACTAGTGTGGTAACTATTACCACATGTGGCCACTGAGTACTTGAAATGTGGTTAGTTCAACTGTGGAACTCTATTTCACATTTTAGCTGTAATTAAGACTGAAACGGAAATAGCCACATGTGGCTAGTAGCTATTAAACTGGACAGTAGAGATTCTAGAATGTACTAGCTCTAGTCATGTCTCTCTGGCATCATTTTTTCTCTACTAAAAACAAATGACAACTGTTTGTTAACTTTTTGCTTTCTCAATGGTAACACCCAAGATTCTTACTGGGATCCTGCGGAAACACAACTCCAAGTCCCATAAATATTAAATAAAACTTTGCTTTAACTGATTAGTCAGACAATAGAAAAATTCCTTACTTTATCAGTATAGAAAATACATTTTAAGACCTGCTTGAGCTCTTTTCAGATGAACATTGTCTTACAAAAGGAAGGACAGAATTAGAAAATCACCATTTTCCACTGCCGGTGTAGCGACTGGTTTAAGCAAGGGTCATTAGTGAGTGATTTCACCACTGAGGTAAAAGGTTGTTGGGAATCCAGCCACTCGCATGATGCCAAAGGATCACACTGTACAGATTATGTTTTAATTACCAAGAGAGAGGCCTGGGGTCACAACCTCAACCAAGTGATCAAATGTAATGTCATGAAAAAAGGGGTGGCCTCACAATACGAACCACTTGATGGGGTGCAGCAAGAAATGTATAATGTCACTTTTACACTATTTTTGGCAAAAAATGATTATGTCTAGTCATGAGAAAATAAATCAGAAAAATCCAGATTGTGGGAGTTTCTGGGGGATAATTACCCTGAATATTTTAACAAACAATAAACAAACAAACCAGGACCTGTTTGGTGGTGCAGTGGGTTAAGACACAGCTTGCCATGCCAGCATCAGATACGGGAGCCAGTTCAAGCCCCAACTGCTCCAGTTCTGATCCAGCTCCCTGCTAATGCATCCTAGGAGGCAATGGATGATGGCTCAAGTGCTTGGGCCCCTGCCACCCATGTGGGAGACCAGGCTGGGGTTCATGGCTCCTGGCTTTAGCCTGGCACGGCCCTGGATATTATGGCCATTTGGGAAGTCAATGAGCAAATGTAAGCTATCTGTTTCTCTCCCTCCCTCACTCTTTCCCTCAGATGTTTTGCCTTTTAAATAAATAAATAAATCGTTAAAAAAAACTTCAATGTCATGAGACCAAAAAAGAGGGGGAGGTGAATTATTCTAGACTAAAAGTGACTAAAGAGACATGACAACCACACTAAATTGTAATTGGATTTTGGAGTTGTGTGTGTGTACATGTGTGCAATAGTCATGTTACTTTCCTCAGGTATGATAAAGGTATTGTGATCATGTAAGAAACTGGGTTCCTACAAGATACGGAATGAAGTATTTAGCAATGGAAAGTCACTGTGTCTATAATGTAGTCTGAAGTATTTTGAAAGAGTTGAGAGAGAGAAAGCAAAAAGACAGAAATGACCCCCAAATGCAACAGAGTGTTGCCAATTGCTGAACCCAGGCTTATACTTAGATAGTCATTATTCTAGTTTTCCAACTTTTTTGTAGATTTAGAAATTTTCATAATTAAAAATTAATAATACTTCTTTATATCCTTGGCAGAAAAAGGTTTCAAAAACACAGCAGTCTATTTTCCTGTCTCTCTAATTTAGCTTAATGTTAGCTATTAATACTGATGATTCATGAGCTCCTATTATTTCAGGGTCTGAAACCACAAATGGTAAAGATCCATAGACCTACAGTGCTATAATAGGTCAATACAAGTGACAGCTAAATAAATAAATTCTACAATGTTCTGTTGATATTTCTCCTCTAAAAGCAAAGGATGAGGAGGAAAGCACTAAAAGACGGAAACGTATGGTTCATCAAATTCCAACCGATGCAGCCATCTTCAGAAGCGGCTGCACCTGTCCCCTGGAAGTCTGCAGTTGGGAAGTCAGTCCCATGCAGGGCCTCCTTCCCTTGCTTTTACCATCCTTTTGCCATGAAAAGTCAGTCTGCACTGCAACCACTTGCTATCACCCACCTGTCTGACATGAAGCCCAAACTCTCAACAGTGCACAGCCTAGGGCTATGTGACAACCATGTGAAAAGGCTCCTTGGGGTCTCTTGGAGGTCCCTACTACTGGCCTAAATGCTCTCTGAGAGGTTTCTAAGAAAGGAAACAAACCCCAGCTTTCCAGCTTGCTACTGCCTTTTAAGTGCCCAAAGAAAACAGACCATAGCCCTTGAAATACCAGTGATGCTCTTCTGCAATTTTTTCCCTACTCAAGGCTATTTACTAAATTTAGGGAGATTTAGTCATTACTTTACTGGCAGGGTTGAGGGCCCCTTGGACCAATCCCCAAGATTGACACTGGACCCTGTGGCTTCCTACATAGGTCTCCACCCTTGGGACAGAGCCCAGAACCAAAGCGGTCTCTAGGAACAGGAGTTAAAGTAGTGGGCCAGGAAGTGTAGTTTGGTGCTAGGCAGCAAGAAAGAAAAGGTACAGTACTCCAACTGCACATTTAGATCCTCAGAACACTTGAATTAGTCCCTTGGCTTCCTAAAACTTTTAGTTTTCAGATACAATACACATTTATCTCCTAACTTGCTATAATGCTTTAAATATAGGGTACTATATAAATCTGGCACTTTTGTGCTGTTTTATCATATCAAGCTTTAGCATTCCCCTGATACATTGGAGCTGAGCTCATCAAAACATACACAACGCAGTCTTTTCTTCTGGAATTAACTGGAATACTCTTATTTTCTTTAAGAACAAGACAAATACAGGGGGCCAGCACTGTGGTAGGCTAAGCATCCACCTGTGGTGCTGGCATCCCATGTGGGCACCGGTTGGAACACCTGCTGCTCCACTTCTGATTCAGCTCCCTGCTTATGGTCCGAGAAATCAGTGGAAGATGGCCCAAGTGCTTGGGCCCCTGCACTCATGCAACAGACCCAGAAAAAACTCCTGGCTCTGGACTGGTCCAGCTCCAGCCATAGAGGCCATTTGCAGAGTGAACCAACAGATATAAGACTTTTGTCTCTGTGTCTCCTTGTCTATCTGTAACTCTGCCTCTCAAATAAATAAATAAAATATTTAAAGAGAGAAGAATGAGACAAATGCAGACATCCCACACTAAATGAGAAACTAAAGTGATCAAACTGATAAGTTCTTTCTGGGATGAATAAATATTGAATAATAATTCTCTTTCTAGTAGAATAATGTATCCATTATGATTAACAGATTAAATGCCATGAAATCTCAGAAAGTTTAGAAGTACTCTACTTTAATCAACATATATTCTTAAAAATCTGAACAATCAGGGCCGGCACTGTGGCATAGTGGGCTAAGCCTCTGCCTGTGGCATCTCATATGGACACTGGTTTGTATCCTGGCTGTTCCTCTTCTGATCCAGCTCTCTGCTATGGCCTGGGAAAGCAGTGGAGGATGGCTCAAGTCCTTGGGCCCCTGCACCCATGTGGGAGACCTGGAAGAAGCTCCTGGCTCCTGGCTTTGGATCAGCCCAGCTCTGGCCATTGTAGCCAGTTGGGGAGTGAACCAGTGGATAGAAGACCTCTCTCTCTGTCTCTCCCTCTCTCTCTGCCTGTGGCTCTGCATCTCAAGTAAATAAATTTTAAAAAACTCTGAATGATCAAGGTTCTGAATGCTTTGAAGATTCTCAATGTGAGATACACACCTTCATACAACTCCCTGAACACCAGCCCCTAATCTGAATTCTCTCATGTCCCAAGTATAACAACTTGTATGTGCCAGAATGATCTTCCTTCTTGAAGGTCAGGTGCTTCAAAGAAAAAAGCTTCCTCTGTAAGTTTGCTAGTAGCTAAATGGAATGTTTTTAAAAATAAACTTTCCAGTGTAAGCACATGTGCTTTAAACAACAAAAAGTGTGTGAACCCAGTGAGCTTAAATACTGCCATTTCATTCCATGCATGTCATCACAGTGCACATTTGGGGCCTGGTGATCACAAGACTCTGTTCCATAACTGGCATTGCTGCTTTCTCCACTGTTTTTTGGGAGTGAAATATTTTCACAAGGCCAAGAGCAGAGTTCAAGCCTATTTTGCATTTGATTTATCCACTAGCACTGAGAAATCAGATCAGGAAGATAGCATGCCAATTAGAGAAACAGAAAGGAAAGAAAAAACATCAAAGTTTTTACTGTTTGCCCCTATATCACCCTCCTTACATATACTTGCATCATAAGCTTGAAGGGACACTGAGAAACAAACTGCATTAAAGGAATCTTTATCCTATTGGTTGAGAAAAAATGTTCTTCCTGTATTCTGATTCACCACTAGAATGTACAAGTACACAAAGACATACTTTAAAAAAAAAAAAAAGCACACAGCACTGGTATTTAATTAAGATGGCTCAACTATGAAATTCTAGTCCCCATACTTACTATATCACAAGCAGGATTCAGAAATGAGCAGCTATTAACACTAAGCTAAGCTGTACAATAAAGAGACACTTGTCAACCTGGGCTTTGGTGTTAATGACACATGGTCCAACAAGGGGAGAGAGGGGGACAGAATCCCAGAAACTTTGACACATCAGTTCACACACAGAGAGGGTAGGGTGGAAAGAATTATTAGAATTGACTTCATCTCTTGCCCCTCTGCTAAAAGGGACAGAGGCTGGCACACACAGGAAGGAAGGAAGGGACAAGCAGCATAAAGAGAAAACTCTCGGGTTAGAAGGAGGAGAAAAGCCAGGCCCAGTTCATTGTTTTCTGAGGATGCCCTTGTGTCACCTGAAGTACTGCCAGCGGCGATCATTCTGGTCCTCTTCGGAGGGCTCCTCGACGCCAACTCTGGGCAGCAGAAGAAGGGAACGTGAGCGTGACGGGGACAACAGAGGAGACAGGAGCTCTGGACATATGATCCGCACCACGGCCATGAAAGAAAAGGCTGACTTGCTTTTCATAGAAAGCCACGCCCTCTCTTCACCTGGTCCCACTCTCCAAAACCCAGAGAGCCATGGAGGAGGCTACTACGTTTCAATGTCAAGAAAGGCAATAATGTGCCAGGTCAAATGAGGGTCAATTAGGAATGAAGCTAAGTCTCTCAAAATACAATGTAATGAAATCAGAGAAATAAAATGCACCAAAGCACCTGAATTCACCCAATTTTTCAGGAACCCATCTGTTCCATAAAGCAAGGCACAAAGAAGCAGGAATCGGAAAGCTACTTGTTACTAAGTACATATCTGAAGAGCTCCCACATATTTTCATACATATTTGATGGAAGGAACAAAAGCACTATAGTATTGAAAAAGTTAATAATACTTTAAAAGGCAAAGATGGCCTTTTTTTTTTTCCTAGACAAGCAAACTACATTGCCCACAGCTTCAAGAAACTAACTTCTGCTATTTTCTATACCTTGTGGCTTTTGAGTTGCTATGGTCAACTTTCACCTTCCTTACTGACTTCTGGATTATTCGTGCAATACAACCTGACCGTCATGTAAGATGGGTTTCACCAGCTCGGCACTCCAGACGTTTGGGATCAGATAATAATTCTCTGTTGAAGGGGCTGTCCCACACCCTGCAGGATATTTAGTAGCATCCCTGGCTTCTACCCACAAGATAGCAGTAGTAATCCATCCTGTACATTGTGGTAACCAAAACCATCTCCACATATTCCCCAATGTCCCCCAGGAGGAAAACTGTCCTTGGCTGGGAACTACTGCACTAAATCATGCCTTCTCAATGGAGCATGATTTAGCTCCCATGGGTATGAAAATCGGTTCTTTCAGGACCAAAAATACGTCAGATATTACAATGGTTTGTGGTGCTCCAAAGCGCCACAGTGTGTAAACAGATACATAGCAGATGTACAGTGTTAAAAGCCCACATAATTGTCACAGTAGTAGTAGTAATGCTATGATTGGTAATGATAATACAACAACAAATATATACTAAGTTCTTAAGGACTAGATGGTACATTTAATAGAAAAAAATTTCATCATATTTATTTATTATCGCCCCCAATTAATCCATGAGGAAACTGAGATACCGAGGTAAAATAAGTTGCCCAAGGTCACAAAGGTGGAAATATTAGAGCCGAGACTCAGATCCCCAGCTCTTTAGAGGACATCGCTTTTAGGTGCAAGGTGGCATCTTTAAACTCTTTAAAAATATCCAGTTTCAAATGCTATTACATAAAGAGCTTAATGGCGTCTCTGCCTTTATTTCTTACCTTATCTTGCAAAAAAGCTGCATTGAAATTCTCACACTAACAGGATTAGACCAAGCAGAGAAGAACACTTGTCCTTGAATGATTATGTCACTGCACACTCTCGGGTGTGAAGGTCACTCATTCATTTGGCTGCCTAGGTGTATGCCATTCCATCACCCCCCATCACCACTTTATTGTACTACTTGAATCTGCTGGCTCCAAGAAGACAGCCATCATGCTGTCACCATGTGTTCAGGACATGTACATGGTTCATCTGTTGAAATGACCCTATGACCATTGTTTTTTAAGTTGCCAAAATTATGTCCTTTGTGAATAACAATACTCAATCAAGAAACTAAATATTAGTAGTCTGTACATTAACATAAAACACTTTGAGCATTTTTCTATTATCTTTTAAAATATCAATCCCAAAATACCAATTTAAACAGATAACTTGGATTTATGGTAAGTGACCTGGCTTTGCATATGTAGTTTACCCATTTTAGACACAGACTTGAAATTCGCTATGGTAAGGAATCACAGTTAAATCCAAGACCCACCCTGGGCTTCTGATCTCTGAACAGCTACTTCATACCTCATCAGGGCCTCTATTGGTAGCCCTGAGAAGTAAGGAACAAGTAGGTAATGATCCTACTGGGGTCATAGGGGTCACAGCAACACACTGAGCTTTAGGGAGTTTCTGAATCGATTATATTAAGAATCTGGTTACAGAAATGATCCATGGTCACTAAATAACACAATAAGCCACAAGCCAGAAAAAAAAATTAGTTTCATTACCTTATTTCAGAGGGAATTTCCTTTGAGGTAATCTCTATAAATGTCAGCTTCTACATTTAAATCATCATCATATATACATACATATATATATCAGGAAAAATGCAATGAACTAACACCATATGCATTTTTCAACAATGGCATCCTTTGTTCTTTATCTTGTCTGGGTCAACAGAACAAGAAAATACTAAAGACAGGAACAATCAGTTAAATTGAAATTCAAAAAACAGTTCAGAAGTAGGTTTTTTGAAAAGATAATAAAATTGACAAACTTTCAGAAAGACAGACAAAAAGTGAGAAAATCTACCATATTAGGAATGAAGTATCAAAAAAAATCAAGAAGAAGCAGTATCACTAAAGACCCTGCAGACATCAAGAGTATATTAAGGAAATGCTACATGCAACATAAACTTGACAACTTAGGTGAAATTGACCAACTTCACAATTTACCCAATATGAAACAGATAATCTGACTAACCCTATAACCTTTTTAAAAGATTTATTTATTTATTTGAAAGGCAGAGTTGAGAGCCAGAGAATCTTCTATCCACTGGTTCATTCCCCAAATGGCCACAATGGTCAGAGCTGGACTGATCCAAAGCCAGGACCAGCTTTTTCTTAGTTTCCCATGTGCAGGGCCCCAAGCACTTGGGCCATCTTCTGCTGCTTTCCTGAGCATATTAGCAGGGAGCTGAATCAGAAGCAGAGCAGCCAGGACTCCAATTGGATCCTATAAGGGATGCTGGGGTTGCAGGCAGCAGCTTTACCAGCTACGCCATGATGCTGGCCTGCAGCCCTGTAACTTAAAGAAATTGGCTACAAGGGTCAGCATCATGGTGTAGCAAGTTAAACCACTGCTTGTGACACAGGCATTCCATATCAGAGTGTCAGTTCAAGTCCCAGTTGCTCTGCTTCCAATTCAACTCCCTGCTAATGAGCCTGGAAAAGCAGCAAACAATGGTCTAAGTATTTGTGGCCCTGCCACCCATGTGTGAGACCCTTATGGTGTTCCAGGCTCCTGGCTTCAGCTTGGCCCAGCCCTGGCTATTGTGGCCTTTGGGGCAGTGAACCAGCAGATTGGAAACCTACCCCCCCATCTCTTTCTGTGTCACTCTGCCATGCAAATACATACATATTTTAATAAAAAAGAAATTGGCTCCATAATTTAAAAAATTTTTGAAAAGGAAGTCTCCAAGCCCAGAGGGTTTCCCTGTAGAATCCTACCAAAGGGTTAAAGAAAAGAATTAACATCAATTCTACAAAATATCTTCCAGAAAACAGAAGAGCAAGGAATATGTTCCCAACTCACTTTGTGAGGCTACATTATGTTGATACCCAAAACAAAGAAAGACAATACAAAAAGATAGAACTACAAACCAATATCCTTCATGAACACAGACCAAAAATATCCTTACAATGCACTTGCTCATAGAACTCAGCAATATGTCAATGTAGGGTTTATTTCAGAGAAACAAGGAAAGTTTGATATTCAAAAATTAATCAATGTGACATACCATATTAATAGACTAAACAAAAACAGTCACATGATATTCACAGATGTAGAAAACTATTTGACAAAATTCAACACCTGTTCAAGACAAAAATTCTCAAAAATCTAGCAATCGACAGGTACTTCCTCAGGTTGACAATGAACATCTATAAAAACCCATACCTAATTCTGCACTTAATAGTGAAACACTGAATGTTTTCCTCTTAAGATCAGATACAAGGCAAAGATTCCACTCATACCACCCTGATTCAACATAGTACTGAAAGGCCTAGCCAAAGTAATAAGGCAAGAAAAGGGAACAAAAGACTGCTTGGAAAGGAAGAAATACAATGATCTGTATTTGCAAATAACATGAAGGTCTATGCAGAAAATTGCAAAATATAAAAAAGGAGAAAGAACCACTAAAAGCCCTCCTAGAGTTAATAAGTGATTTCAGCAAGGTGATACAATACAAGCTCTGACAAAACATGGGTAGATTTCCTATATTGAAAACTATAAAAATTTTTTTTTATCTTTTATTTAATGAATATAAATTTCCAAAGTACGACTCATGGGTTACAATGGCTTCCCCCCCCATACCGTCCCTCCCACCCACAACCCTCCCCTTTCCCACTCCCTCTCCCCTTCCATTCACATCAAGATTCATTTTCGATTATCTTAATATACAGAAGATCAGCTTAGTATACCTTAAGTAAGGATTTCAACAGTTTGCTCCCACACAGAAACATAAAGTGAAAAATAATAGATGATTTTTTTTAAATGATGATGAAATCAGATCAGACCTATTGTCATGTTTAATCCCAGTGAGAGTCAAGTTGGGAATTGATAATTTCTTTTTTTTTTTTTTTACAGAAGATCAGTTTAGTGTACATTAAGTAAAGATTTCAATCGTTTGCACCCCCATAGAAACACAAAGTGAAATATACTGTTTGAGTACTCGTTATAGCATTAAGCCTCAGTGTACAGCACATTAAGGACAGAGATCCTACATGAGGAGTAAGTGCACAGTGACTCCTGTTGTTGACTTTACAAATTGACACTCCTGGAAAACTATAAAAATATTAATGTAAGAAATCAAAGAACATCTAAATAAATGGAGAAATATACCATGTTCATGAATTGCAAGACTCAGCAAGATTTTTTTTAGATATAAACAACCTTATTCTAAAATGTGTATGGAAAGTAGTTGGAATAGTACAACAAGTTTGAAAAATAAGAACAAAATGTGAGGAATCACTCTACTTAAGGCTAAGGGTTGCTGTGTAACGATGGCTATTAAGACAGTATGGGATTATTGGAAAACAGGCACATAAATCTATGGATCACAACATAAACAGATTCCTGTATGTAGCAACAGCTGATTTTTGACAAAGGAACAAAAATAATTAAATGGAGTGAGGATACTCTTTTAACAAATTGTGCCAGAACACCTGGATAGCCATAGGCAAATAAAATAAAATCTCCATCTAACTCTCACATTTTACATAAAAACTAACTCAAAATGGATCTCACACTTAAATATAAAGCATAAAACTACAAAACAAAAACCTTTTAGGATATAACACAGAAAGAAATCTTCAGGAACAAGGCTTGCTGAAGAGTTCTCAGAATGATATCAAATGCATGATCCATAAAAATGAATATGTTGTACTTAATCAACATTTTAAACTCTGTTCTGTGAAAGACTATTAAAAGGATTATAAGACAAGCTACAAACTGGGAGAAAATGTTTTCAACATATTTGACAGAAGACTAGTATCTAGAATAAAGAACTCTCAAAACTCAATAAACAAAATCCAATTAGAAACAGACGAAAGATTTGAAAAGTAACTTGCCAAGGAAGATATATGAATGGCAAAAAGCACATGAGGAAATGTTCGACATTATTAGCCATGAGAGAAATGCAAATCAAGGCTGCAATGAGCTATCCCTAGCACCTACTAGAAAAGCAGAAATGAAGACCAGTGACAATACCAAATGTTGGCAAGGGTGCCGAGAAGGTGGATCTCTCGTACACCACTAGGAGGAATGGCAAATGGTACAGGCAGCCTGGCACACTGTTTGCCAGTTTCTTATAAAACTAAGCACACACTTACCAACTGACCCAGCAGTCCCACTCCTGGGGATTTATCTTGGAGATGTGAAAACTTGAGCTTATGCAAAAACCTATAAACTAATAGTCACAGCAACTTTATTTATAATAACCCTGAACTGGAAGCATCCTTTAAGGGGTTAAAAACAAACTGTGATACAGCCATACCTTGAGATATTATTTGGCAATAAAAAAGAGGGAAAAAGATATATTCAACACCTCCATGGGTTTCCTGGGCATTATTCTTCTAAGGGCTGGGGAAAAAAGGACAATCTCAAAAGATCATATACTGTATGATTCCATTTATGTAACAGTCTTGAAAGAAATGAAAGGTTGCCAGGGGTTAGGGATGGTGGGTGGTAAGAAGGTGCGTATGGCACAAAGGGTAGCACTAGGGCCATCTTTGCATTGATAGAGCAATTCTATGTCTTGATGGCAGAGCTGGTTATACAAGCCTACACATGATAAAATGGCATAGAACTATGCACACGCATTGTACCCATGTCAGATCCTACTTATGATGTTGTAATACAACTATGTAAGATGTAACCATGAGGAAAACTGGACAAAATGTAAGAGGACCTCTCTGTACTGTTTTGCCAATTTACTGTGAATCTGTATTTCAAAATAAAAAAAGGTTAATGAATTATGCTATACAAGAAACGTGCTATGCCATGCATCTTACGGCTCATATATGAAAGAAACTTAATACAAGGTTTGCCAAAATTTGATAATTAATTTCAAAAATTTACAGGGCAGTAGTGAAATGGAAAAGAATCTTTTTAAAAATACAAATACTAGCCAATTTTTACCACCTATGCATCAGAAAGACTGATATTTCTATTCTCTCTACAGATATTACAAAATTATTATATGAAGAAGAGATCAGAGACTGGGCAGATATTTTTAGAGTAGGAGGAAAGTATTACAGAGAATTGTCAGGTAGCTAATTAAAAAGATTTTATATGATATTACTGGATTTGGGATTTCTGTATTTATTATTGCATTTTGAAAACTGAAATATACTCAAACTTAGCTTTCATTCTATTCGGAAAAATCACACACATAAATGTATATATATACATACATACATGTGATTTTTCCAAATAGAATGAATATATATATATATATTCATATATATGCCTATTCATGCATTGACCTACAGCTTGTGTGCCTCAGGAAAAGCTGCCTGCCCTCTCGGCGCTGGGTAGGACTGTTTCAATGGGCTACTTTGTGAAAAGGTCACTGGAAGTACAAAATGTCACATGTCAACTCTACTCAGTGGAAAGTAATTTGGTCCTGTATCCATTGGGGAAGTGGAGGGGGGGAGGCAGGGACAAAAAAGAACATTAAAAAAATTGCATGAAAAACAGACATGATTCAATCAGGTGCTCAGTACCCAGTGTGCCTAGTGGGTGACCAGACAGACAGGAGCAGGAAGCAACCTCAGAGCTCACTGAATGTAAAGATTCTCAACTGTGCATAGGCTAAACTTCCCTTCCTGCCCCCATTCTGCTATTAGGAACAAAGATAGTACCATCTTAGGTCTCAAGTTTAAAGCCCAGGAACCATGAATTTCCTTTTCCAGGTTTCTATGCCCAAGGATGGATTATCTTCCTTAATCTAATCCTTGAGATTCAGGCCAAGAAGTGGAAATTCTAACCATCCTCAATTTTATGACATAAAAATTGTCCTTAACACCATATATCAAACCGGCACCATGGCTCACTAGGCTAATCCTCCGCCTTGCGGCGCCGGCACACCGGGTTCTAGTCCCAGTCGGGGCGCCGGATTCAGTCCTGGTTGCCCCTCTTCCAGGCCAGCTCTCTGCTGTGGCCCGGGAGTGCAGTGGAGGATGGCCCAAGTGCTTGGGCCCTGCCCCCCATGGGAGACCAGGAGAAGCACCTGGCTCCCGCCATTGGATCAGCGTGGTGCGCCGGCTGCAGCGGCCATTGGAGGGTGAACCAACGGCAAAGGAAGACCTTTCTCTCTGTCTCTCTCTCTCACTGTCCACTCTGCCTGTCAAAAAAAAAAAAAAAAACATATATCTTATTGTAGGTAAGACAGCACAGTGGTTAAGAGTATGGACTCTGGCACAATACCACCTGAGTTCAAATCTTATCTTGTCCAGCTAAAGCTCTGTGACCTTGGGCAAGTTACTGCTCTGTACCTCAATTCTTCCAACTACAAAATGAGATAGCAAAACCTCCCTTACAGTAATATTATAAGAATTATGTTCATCTATGCATGGCACCTTGAACACCACCTGCAACATGAGAGTCCATTATTATGATGATTGTCACCAGTAAGCCCCATGCCTACCATCAGTAAAATAGGCCCAGATGGAGGAAATTATTCTCGCAAACTCTAGTGTTCTCTCCGACTCTAAGCACAACTGAGAGATCTTTGTTTGTTTGCTCTCTGCCAATGCAGCTGTCTCATGAATTCTACATTCCATAGAAGGGAATGCAAACTAAAAGCCGGCAGAGAAAGAAAAAAACATTGCCACCTTGTGGTTTTTTCAGAGAACTGTTCTTCATAGCTCTGTACTACCCAAGCATCTCCTTGTTTCGGTCACGGTCCCCCACGCAGAGTGCAAATCTTGGAGCTGAAGGGCTTGTGATAACCTAGCAGGGCGGCCCCACTTTAACACTGAGGAACACTGAGGCCACACAGCATCAGGGGCTTTCACTTTAACCAGAGCCAGAGTTGAGCTGTGGATCTCTGGAACCCTTCTTCTAAAGTTCTCTTGACCATAGGGAGTGGGACTCACAAATGCGGCTTGGAATTCAAATGCTCTTTACAAACAAAATCAACTCAGGCCTGCATCCCTCTTCCCTGACATAGCCGCAAAACCACAGGCAGGGGACCTCGAGGAGGCTGCAAGAGATGAGGGTTACACAGGAAATGTCACCTCTTCTGTACCCTCAAGCAAGAAGAGACACAGCACACAGTTGCATGACAGAGTCAAACTCTACTTGCCTCTTTCTGTTTCTCGCTGATGAGTTTACTCTTCAGGCCCTGCACTTCATTTCACAGGAAGGTGAAATATGGAACATTTTCAGGGGCTACAGATCTATTCTCTCTCCTGCAGCTTAGACTTTTTGAATTTTTGCCCTAATGTCACTGTGCTAGCAAGATCTGGGTGTTTCTAATTCCTTGTGTGTGTGTGTGGTGTGTGTGTGTGTGTGTGTGTGTGTGTTTGCTAAAAATTTTGATGATAACCTTTTCCTCTCCTGGAAAATTCAAGGCTCCTAACTTCTGTTTGTTACTTAAATTTTAATTCCTCTTCCAAGACAAAACAATGCAAATGACTGTAAATATGTTCCATGGACTTAGCCACACAGGCATACTGAACATCTCAAGAACAGTGACAAGTGACCTAATGAGACACAAAACCGGTCCTGGTTCCAAACTGACCTGATGTTAAGCCATGACAACATGGGTGTCGTGCCTCCACCAATGATCCACACAGTGAAGAAGACGATGAGGAGAGTGGTGGTGAACATCATCTGGCGAGCATAGGATGCTGTGTCGCGGATAGCCAATGCAAATGCCATCGCTCCCCTGAGGCCTGCAGGACCAAAGAGAGAGAGAGAGAGATGTGGCTATAAGGACAAATGACAATGTCTCTTCCAAATCCACTGCTGCTCCTTAGGGCTAACAAACTCTTATCCGTTCATGCTTCAGAGACCAAGTCATTTAGTCAGAAAGGAGAACCTTAATGGTGCAGGATTTTCTCCTATTTGAAACTACCTTTTGCAAAAGGCTTAAATACAATGAGCAAGGCATTGCACTGTTTTTTCCAGCACACTTCAGAATAATAGCACTTCATTACTTAAATGATTATCCTGCTAGTAATATGAAAAAAATATAGCTAAGTAATAAAATATTAGTTCTCCAACTATGTGATCCAAACACTACCCAAGCTCTAGACAGCCAACGTAAACTTACCAAACAGGCTTGGGGATGGGCAGTTAACCTAGTAGCTAAGATGCCTGTGTCCCATATCAGAGTGCTTCAGTTTGATACTCAGCTCTGGCCCCTGATTCCACCTCCCTGCTAATGCAGACCTAGAGGGCAGCAGTGATGGCTCAAAAGTAATTAGGTTCTTGGCTCCTGTCTTTGGCCCCAACCCACTAAGGAATTTGGGGACTGAACCAGCAGATAGGAAATGCCTGCCTATAGCTCAAATAACTTTTTTTTTCTTTTCTTTTCTTTATTTCTTTTTTTTGACAGGCAGAGTGGACAGTGAGAGAGAGAGACAGAGAGAAAGGTCTTCCTTTGCCGTTGGTTCACCCTCCAATGGGCGCCGCGGCCGGCATGCTGCAGCTGGCGCACTGCGCTGATCCGATGGCAGGAGCCAGGTGCTTCTCCTGGTCTCCCATGGGGTGCAGGGCCCAAGCACTTGGGCCATCCTCCACTGCACTCCCTGGTCACAGCAGAGAGCTGGCCTGGAAGAGGGCAACCGGGACAGAATCCGGCGCCCCGACCGGGACTAGAACCCGGTGTGCCGGTGCTGCAAGGCGGAGGATTAGCCTAGTGAGCCGTGGCGCCAGCCTCAAATAACTTTTTTAAGAAAGCAGGTTAGCGGGGGGAAAGGGGGAGGGCAGTTGTTGTGGTGTAGTGGGTAAAGCTGCTGCCAGCAGATGCAGCACTGGCATCCCATATGGGCGCCAGTTCAAGTTCCAGCTGCTCCATTTCCAATCCAGCTCCCTGCTAATGTACCTGGGAAAGCAGCAGAGAATGACCCAAGTCCTTGAATTCCTGCACCCACCTGGGAGACCCAGAAGATGCTCCTGGCTCCTGGTTCAGGCTGGCCCAGCTCCAGCTGTTGCAGCCACTTGGGGAGTGAACCAGTGGATGGAAGAGTCAGTCTCTCTCTCTCTCTCTCTCTCTCTCAACACTGCCTTTCAAATCAGTAAATGGATATTTTTTTAAAAAAAGCAGGTTAGGTATGAATATATCAAATACATAATTTGGGGGCTGGCGCTGTGGCACAGTGGGTTAAAGCCCCAGCCTGCAGTGCCGGCATCCCACATGGGCATCAGTTTGAGTCCCAGCTGCTCCTCTTCCAATCCAGCTCTCTGCTATGTCCTGGAAAAGCACTAAAAGATGGCGCAAGTTCTTGGGTCCCTGCACCTGCGTGGGAGAAGCTGGAAGAAGCTCCTGGCTCCTGGCTTCGGATCAGCTCAGCTCTGGCCATTGCAGTCATTTGGGGAGTGAACCAACGGAATGGAAAACCTCTCTCTCTCTCTGACTCTACCTCTCTCTTTGTAACTCTTTCAAATAAATAAAATAAATTGAAAAGTGCATAATTTGTGGAAAACAGCTCAGCATTCCCTTGACACAGAAAAACCATGCAAAACATTACCCGATCTTTACATCAGGGATTGGCAACTCGATTCTGTAAAGGGCCATATATTGGATATTTTAGGTTTTGTGGGTCAAGAGGCAAAATCAAGGATATTATGTAGGCACTTATTTGAAAGAGAGAAAAAAACCTATTTTTATTTTGAAAATTCAATAATAATATAATTGAGTATATGTTGTTGTAATACAGATCTATTAATGAAAAGAATGGAATTCTTTTTAGGAGTTGCTTAATTGGGTTTCAAAGTTAGGGTTCCCTATTATTAAACAAAGTTCGCAAATATTCACATGGAAAAGACATTCACTGCTCAGAGGGTCTGGTAAAAGCAGACAGTAGACAGATTTGGCCAAAGGGCTGCAGCCTGCTGATGGCTGACCTACATTAACTGCATTTCAATTTTAATACCAACATTTTGATGTTTTAGAGTTTACGGTTCTAAGTTCTTTTGTTCCTTCTCCATACCATGCTCAAATTCTTCCATAGTAAAGACTGAATTTATAGTCTTCAGTACACATCTGGAATAAATTCTTATTCACCATAGGTAAGAGTATGTACATACCAGATGAGAAAATAAAAAGTTAGACTCCCTGTATTTGCTTGTGTGCATTGTCCCACATTGCCCAAGAATTTCATAATTATTAATATAATCTGAGTACATCATTACAATCACTAGAGAAAAGTGACTTAAGACTTACATTAAAGGGGGTGGGCATTGTTAACTCACCACTTGGTAGAGCCACATCCCATATCTCGTGCAAGTCCTGGTTATTCCACTTCTGATCCAAGTTCCTGCTAATGTGCCTGGGAAGGCAGTGGATAGTGACCCAAGTGCTTGGGCCCCTGCACCCACGTGGGAGACTCAGATGGTGTTCTGAGCTCCTGGCTTTAGCCTGGCCCGGCCATGGCTGTTAGAGGCATTTCAGGAGTGAACCAGCAAATAGAAGATATCTGTGTGTGTGTATGTGTGTGTGTGTGCCTCTGTGTCATTCTGCCTTTCAAACAAATAATCTTTAAAAATATTTTCATTAAAAAAGAGCAAAGAGAAAGCTTTCTATTCATCTGCGTGTACTATTTATACACATCTGTATCATCCAATAGCCAGCCATGTCACCAGCCAATAGTTAAGCCTCCTCAACTCAAAGAAGAAATACATGATACTTTTTAAGGTTATTAGGTAAATGCTGTAAGCAATATGAACATGAAAGCTCACATATTTCATAGCCTTGAAAAATGAGTTCCTTTCAATAGCTAGATTTCTTCGAGCATGAAATAATTTCTTTGGTGATATCTTTAAACAGCACTGTACTCGTAGCTTTTCAGCATAGAAGATAATGAACGGCTCTGAAGCTGGCCTTCAAGACAGTTACTTCCAATTCACCTCTCCCTGGTGCACTGGCATTTTCCTAACATGGAAGTAGGAGCCAGCCATGGCGCTCCTCAGCAAACTGGAAATGTTTCCGCACTGCTCCTGAGCTTCTCCGTGGCCTCCACTCCACAGCAGTGATTTGCAGAGCGCAGTCTCTACGCGAGCAGCAATAGCTGAGAAATGCACATTCTCGAGGCTGGTGCTGTGGAGTAGCAGCTTGCCTGGGACATCGGCATCCCACATGGGCACCAGTTCGAGTCCCGGCTGCTCCACTTCCGATCCAGCTCTCTGCTATGGCCTGGGAAAGCAGTGGAGGATGGCCCGAGTGCTTGGGCCCCTGCACCCACATGGGAGACTTGGAAGAAGCTCCTGGCTCCTGGCTTCAGATCTGCTCAGCCATCTGGGGAGTGAACCAACGGATTGAAGACCTTTCTCTCTCTCTCTCTCTCTCTCTCTCTCTCTCTCTGCCTCTCCTCTCTCTGTAACTCTGCCTTTCAAATAAAATAATCTTTTTAAAAAATAAAATATATACACTTTCTCGGGGCTCACTCTATTCCCCCAGAATCAGACACTCTGGCAGCGGGGCCCAGAAGTCTGTGCTTTAACAAGAACAAGAGGTGATTCTGATGCAACCAAAAGGTTGAAAATCACTAGAGCAGATGCAGTTTTCCTTTGCAACCTTCCTCTCTGTCTGCATTACTCCCTATGTCTGACAGCTACCCTTTTCTAATAGAGCCACGCAGGGCAACGCTTGTCTGCCTTTGCAGCCTGCTGCTTCCTGGAATGCTGTTTCTTTTAAGCCAAGAACCAGAGGCCACCCACCTTGTGAGAGCGGCCCTGAGCTCTTTTCTCATCCACATTTCTTTCATACCTTTTGTGTCATTCACCATCCTCATTTCTCTTGGGAGAAAATGAGTTCTTGGTGTACCTGCCTCCCCCCAGCAGACTGGGAGATCCTTGAAGGCAGCTGGGCTTCACATCATCTACAACCAGGAACTGTGGCTTAGAGACAAGGACGCCGGATAAAGGTCAGAGTGGAAGAACATCATGGCAGGCTGCCAATTGAGCCTCAGCTGCGAGCTAGTGTGAGACAAAGTGACTGCTTCACTGAGCAGCCCCTGGAGGTGTGATCTCACTATGACTCTGTAAGGCCTCCAAGAACTACTATGCAGCAGCAAAGGGGGCTGCTACTCGCTCTTATTCCTTTTTTCTTAAAATATTTATCTGTTTATTTGAAAGGCAAAGTTACAGAGAAGGAGAGTGAGCAAGAGAGGTCTCTCATCTGCTGGTTCACTTCCTAAATGGCCGCAACAGTCAGGACTGGGCCCAGCCAAAGTTAGGAGTCTCGAACCCCATTAAGGTCTCCCACATGGTTGGCAGGGGCCCAAGCACAGGCCATCTTCCTCTGTCTTCCCAGGTGCATTAGCAGGCAGCTGGATGGGAAGCAGGGCAGCAGGGACTGGAACTTGAGCACATATAGGATGCAGAGATGTTCTAACTGAGGTCTCATTTATATAAAGGGTGATCCTTGCCCCCCTCACTCGTCAACTCTTCATGCCAGTTACTCTGTCCTGTCTTTACATTTGCATACTTTATTGGCCTTTGTACCTTCAGTGGCCTCTCTGGATATCTCAGCTTTACAGTGGAAAGGGGGACATGTGGGAGACAATGTGAATCAGTTTACAATGGGTTTAATTAGGATGTAACCCCCTCATTAAGTGAAGGGGCATCTGTATGTTCATCTTATTTTAATTATACTATCATTGCCTACTGAATAAAATCCAATTCCTTTACATTCAGAGTTTTTTTTTTTACCTGAAAACATCATCATGTGTTGGAAATTCCAGCCAATCTTATGCCTTCTGCCCAAGTTGAGGAAGAAAGAGAGTGGATAGATATGTGCAGCTCTGCCCAGGAAGATGGCAACCTGAGGACCAGGTGGAGGTTAAGGGCACAACAGATTTCCAGAATGCCACTTGCATGCAACCTCTGGTTGAGCAGGGAATTTGAGGAATGCTATGATACTTCATCATGATCCAGAGAGCTGCCCAAAGAAGTCAGGCTGTCTAGTTTCCTTCTAGGCACTTCTTTCAGCAACCAAGTGGAAGGCATCTGACCAACACTCCCTACCTCTTGGTTTGGGAGAGAGTTTCTAGCCAATAGGCCAGAACACAACTGTTGAAACTTCTTGATTCAACTGCTATTGACCAATTCCCCAGTCTCTAAAGATGACTCCAGAAAGAAGCTCAAGTACCATGGCAGGAGTGAGAAGTTGAAAGAAGCAAATAGAGTGTTGGGCTCTACTGTATGAAAACAAATAAACACAAGAAAAAAAAAAAGTTCTAATCCTGCAGTCAAATTCTAAAGACCAAACTTCATTTGTAAGTAAAGTAAGCGTCAGGGACTCTGAGGAGCGGAAAGAACTTACAAAGAAGAGGCTGGGGAACCAAAAGGTAGTCACAAGACTCAGAGCCACTCAGATCACTCCCGAGACCTGACACGGGGAGATTCCCTACCTACAGGGTGAAAATGTGTTTTCGAGCTGAAAGAGATGGAGAAGGAACTCTGCTGTAGAAACCCAAGAATTCAGGGAAACTGGTCATCTATCACTTGCCAGAGATAGAACAGCACCCTACAGAGAGAAGCACACTGCCCTGGTCAGAGCAGGAAACCCCCCTGCCCCGGGGAGCCAGAGGAACAGGGAACTTCCGTTTCAGCAAAGCACCAGCTGCCGGGAGCTGCAGCTGTTGCAGACGGTAGCCTGGGCCGGAACTGTCCTCCTCTGGGGCCAAGCCTTGGCTGGTTGTTTTGTTTTTTTTTTCACCTTTTTCTTTTTGTTTGGCTTGCTTTTATCAGAAGGAAGCAGGTGGTACTTACAGAGCCTGTTCTAGCCCAGAAGCAAGGGAGAAGGGCTGAAGTGGGAGGCAGCTTTTCTGCTTCCCAGAGAGCCCAGCTCAGCCTGTGGCAGGCTCTCATGTGTAAACACAGGCGGAGCTCTGTCTCGCACAGGATGCCCTGCTAGGAATACAAATCCAAACAACGCGCCAGATCGGTCTTAACGGGAAAACAAACAAAAAAAAAAAAAGAACACTGATCCTGCAGATTCAGACACGGGTCTGGTGAGAGGGAAATCCAAGTTCCTGGCTGAAGCACACAGCACGCTCTCAAGAAGGTTTCAGGCAGTGGGTGAGGCCACTGTCATTTACTGAGCAACTTGGGGAGTGTCAGTTATTCCTACACAAGTGATGAAAAGCCTAGAAGAGAAAAACCCTCCCCTACCCCCATTTTTTTGGCCAGCATTCCAAGATCTAAGGATTCCCAGGAGACCTCAGAAAAGGCCAAAGTGAATATCCAGCAATAGAGGACTTGAAATTAAGACCCAGAATAGTTCACTTGAATGAAAATAATGGTATCTGAGGCCAAGTTCACAAGACCCTCAGTTGTTGATCCATTGTCAGGCACCCACATCCCTCCCTCGTTTGAGAGAAGCAACTCCCAAAATTATGACTCTCTTCCAAAAACTGCATTCACAATGGGACAAAAATCAAGGAACCAAGTATTTTTCCATTTATCTTTTCTTACTCCCCTCCCCTGCCACCCCCTGCTCTCCTCTCCTCTCCCCTCCCCCCCCACCCCTCCCCTCCTCTCCTTTCCTTTCCTTAAGGGCCCTTTCCACTGGGATCTGTAGCAGTAGGGCAGCTGGGGTAAAGGTGTGATTACTGCCAGCAGGTGTTCCTGTGGGGTATGAGGAAGGGCTGCTCATACTGGATGTACAGTTGGGAGCAAAATGGAAGCTTCAGGTCACCCAAATCAAGAAGCCTCCTGCACTGGAATTTATATGGCAATGGAACGTCAAGAGCAATTCCAGGGACTGACATGGTTGTTGACCTTTAAATTTACCCAGACTGGCACTTCGCAAAACAAACTATCACCTGCCAAACATGAGCTTAACAGAAAGGTCATCTTATACAGAAAAGTGCAGAAAGGATGATCTTCAAATAAATGCCAGGTCCTTAAATCAAAAACATTTAGCTTTCGGGAACACCACTGGTGTCTTCTTTATCTTTTTATGAAAACATCATGAACCAGCACTGGTCAAGACACCCACCCAAAACAGAAAGCACCACCATCACCATCACCATCACCATCACCACCACCACCACCACCATCATCGTTGTTGCCGTTGATGCATCCCCAGCAAGGGTCACCTCTCCATGTAGAAAATGGTGGAATGTGAAAAGGATACAAAAGCGCCAATGATGAAAATGGGGCTGAAAACGTGCTTCTGAAAGGTAAACAGCGCCAGGCCCATGTAGGAGAAGATGAAGTTCTCTGCCAGGAAGTGTAACACCTCAAAGAGCTGCACAGAGAAAGGAAAAGGAAGCCATAAACCTCTTCCTTGTATTAGTAGGCAACTCCTGAGTACCAATGGCGCATTCTCACCTGCTTCGTTCGACTTCTCGACTCCACTGACAGATTGTTGTAGGTGTAGTGGGCTTGAGTGATCCCACAGAAAAGGACGGCTACAACACCTGTTGAGAGATTTTATTATTTTTTAAATCAATGGAGGGGAAAAGAGGGCAGGGGGAAAAAACTACTGAAGCAAAAAGTTTAGGTATGCAAGCTCAGATATCTAACTTCCTGAATATTTTTTAATGTTTCCTGTTACTGAAAGCACCCTTGTCCTTCACCATTCATGGCAACCTTTGTGTCTCCCAACCCTGCCTTCCTTCACAGCCAAGTCCCCCACCTTCCTCCCTTGCTCCAGTGTCAAGGGCACTCTCTCCACTCCTCTACACTCCTACTGATTGGTCATCAGTAGTTCGCATATAGTACTCACTCCCTCAAAACAACTCCCTCAGGTGTGAGGGTCTACCATTTTCTCATATTCTTCTCTGCCTTTAGAATGTATGGATTTAATTTTAAATCAATGCTTTATAGGTTGGCATAGTCTGGAGATTCAGACAAAATAGGCTGGGGATACTATTCTATTTATCCCTGCCCTAATGATTAGATATCTGTTGTGACAATCATTATACCTGGAATTATATACACGTATAGATAATTGTCGAGTTTTAATGGAGTAGGGTACTTCATGATACTGTATATATGTTGTCGTTTTTTGGGAAAAAAATGATAAAAGTACTTTCCTAACTACATGGATTACATAAGTAATTGTACTTGAGCTGTAATGTAAAAATTCAGTGATTTTTTAATAAGAGAATATAAGGAACTAAAACCACATAATGAACCACAGTAATATTACAGGCTGAGCATCTCATTCCAAAAATCCAACATGCAAAATGCTTCAAAACTTGTTGAACATTGACATGATCCCACAAGTGGAAAATTCCACACTGAACCTCATGTGAAAAGTCACAGTCAAAATGCAGATGTACAGCACAGTTTATTTATCATCCCCAAGGGAAAAAAGAGTCTCCCAACCACTTACCCACTTGAATTGTGATACACAAATTGTTTCATGCACAAAATTATGAAAAAATACTATATAAGATTATCTTCAGGCTATGTGCACACAATGCATTATGAAACAAAAATCAATTTTGTATTTTGATGTGAGTTCCATAGTCAAGATAGCTAATTTTATATATGCAAATATTCCAAAATAAAAAAACTGAAATCCAAAACACTTCTGTTCCCAATCATTTCAGATAAGAAATGCTCAACCTGTATATGAATCTGGTGCAATTAAAACATGGTATTGAGAAACAATAATTCAATGGCCCAGAGACAAAACTATGAAAAATCGTGTTCATACTCAGAATCTGAGTACATGGAAAGCACCTTTGAAAGGGCATGTATTTGCTATTTATTGCTACTGTTTGTAAAACAACATAGCAATCTAGGGGAGGATATAAATAAAAATTTAATATATGAGAAGACTTCAAAAAGTGCATGGAAATGGAATTTTAAAGATAAGTTTATTTTGGTACAAAAAATTTTGAAATCCACATGTAATTTACTCATAATATGCATTTCTGTGAGCTTTTGGAAGACCTCTTTCATATGTATAGATTCCAAAATTATTTACATCAAAATAAACTTACCATTTAGTTCTATTTTCCATGCACTTTTTGAAGTACTTTCTGGATCAGTAACCTCTGAAGCTACACATGCATTTATTGGTAGAATGAGTACTCAAAAACAGAACTGAGTTTGCAATACTAAACTTTCTCCTTAAAAAATTCATCGAGTTTGGAACCCAGATGGTTCATTAGGACTAGCTCAGCAATCTTCCTCTAGACACTCTTAAGAATTCTTCCCTCCTCTCAAGCTCCCACAGCCCGCGCTACAGTGGGCAAGGGGAGGGGCCCAAGAGCAGAGAACCCACCTGTAAATCCGCAGGCTTCGGCCAGAAGAAACGTACTCCAAGACATGAGGAAGAAGAGAGCCGTCTCCAGCAAGGGGAAGCAGTGCAGCTTGGTAAACTTGGTCACGTCCACATCCTGTCAAGGACCACAGCTCTGGGCAGGTGTATCAGGAGCGCTGAGAACCGCATTCTGTTAGACCAACACCCAGCCCTCAAGGCTAACCTTTCTTTTCACCTTGTCTCTGGGGGGCCTAAAGCTGCTGCTTATTTTTTAAGTAACAAACATTTAAATTTCCAGTAGAATACAGATTACCAGGGGTTGCAAGTGGAGGGAAGGGAGAAATGAGAAGACACTGTGTAATGACTTCAGACCTTCTGACTGGGATGAGAAGAAAGTTCTAGAACTAAACTGATCTGTAAAAAAAAAAAAGAAGAAATTATCAATTCCCAACTTGACTCTCACTGGGATTAAACATGACAATAGGTCTGATCTGATTTCATCATCATTTAAAAAATCATCTATTATTTTTCACTTTATGTTTCTGTGTGGGAGCAAACTGTTGAAATCTTTACTTAATGTATGCTAAACTGATCTTCTGTATATAAAGATAATCGAAAATGAATCTTGATGTGAATGGAAGGAGAGAGGGAGTGGGAGAGGGGAGGGTTGCAGGTGGGAGGGACGTTATGGGGGGGAAGCCATTGTAATCCATAAGCTGTACTTTGGAAATTTATATTCATTAAATAAAAGTTAAAAATAAATAAATAAATAAATATTCAACTTTCTGAAGAAACTGGCAAGCTGGTTTTCTGTGCACCTTGAAATGTCCTTGGGTCTGAGGGGTGCCACCACAGCCTCAGGCTGGACTGAAGAGTTAGGTCTAGCACAGTTGGGGTGGCCTTAGGCAGGCCTGGGAAGCCAAGGCCCTGAGCCTCTGACTTCTGTGGGTCGCTAAGGCCTGAGTCTAATGGAGGCCCAGGAAAGAAATGCACAACACCTAGGGCAGCTACCAGGTGCTGGTGTCACCTTTTGGGACTGGAGCTCCCTCGCCTAATACTACCCTTAGACACAAGGCCAGCAGGGAACCATCTCATGAGGGGTTTCACTGAGCAACTTCAGTCCTCAGGGCACCAGAAACCCTCTGTGAAAAAAAGGCATCCAAGTCCCCATTGTCCAATATGGTACCCACTGGCCACACATGGCTAGTAAGTATTTCAAATGCTGCTAGTTAGAACTGAGAGGCGCTGTCAGAGTGAGATACACGCCGTATTTCAAAGACAACGGCACAAAAATTGAGCATACAAAATCTGATTAACCATTTGTGTCAGTTTTTTTTTTAATATGGATTTCATGCTGCAGTGAGGTGGCCCATGTTGCAATGGTAATGTCCGTGTCCAACAGAGAGGATGTGATGAAGGATTAAGTATATCTGAGGAGGGGTTGCCTGATGGCTCCACAGGGTGCTTCTTCGTTTGCTTGCAGAAACTAAACATGCCATCCTTTGTTTACAGAAGGCCACCTTGCAGTAATTCCCACGGATGGCCCCCAGCTAGTTCTGGCCACAGTTAATAGTACATGGCCCCAAACAGCCAACAACAGCAGCAATCGGGGGCTAAAGTGCTTCCCAGCCAGTGGTCCCTGACTCCCAGTCTCCTCCTGGCTCCTCAGCTCCTTCCACGCCCCTAAAACTCCTCCTCCAATGGTTTATATGAAAAGGGAGAGAGGCCGGCGCTGCGGCTCACTAGGCTAATCCCCCACCTTGCGGCGCCGGCACACCGGGTTCTAATCCCGGTTTGGGCGCCGGATTCTGTCCCAGTTGCCCCTCTTCCAGGCCAGCTCTCTGCTGTGGCCAGGGAGTGCAGTGGAGGATGGCCCAGGTGCTTGGGCCCTGCCGCCCATGGGAGACCAGGAGAAGCACCTGGCTCCTGCCTTCGGATCAGCGTGGTGCGCTGGCCGCAGCGCGCTGGCAGTGGCGGCCATTGGAGGGTGAACCAACGGCAAAGGAAGACCTTTCTTTCTTTCTCTCTCTCTCACTATCCACTCTGCCTGTCAAAAAAAAAAAAAGGGAGAGAAAAGGCAAAGGTGAGGACAGAGGGAAGTCTGGAAGTTGTACTTCCCAAGATTTTCTCAGACTTAGCTACAGAGTCAACTTTTCAAGGGTCCACCACAACCCCATGAACAATCAATTTAAGATTCTGATGTGAAAGGAAGCACTGAGAACTTTTCCTTTTGAAAGTGGAATGCTACATATACATGGCCAGGCAGGGGCAGAAACTACAAAAAGGATATAAGAGCGGTCACAACACCAGTCACAGCTCCCATAGTAAAAGAGCCACTGAATATACCCAGAAAAATGCCAACTGACTTAAAGAAGGCAGCAGCATCAAAGGCGTGAGTGTTCAGCCCCGCTGGCTGGTAGGCAACAATAGACCTGGAGTTTAAAAAGAAGTGAGAGTTAGGAAAAAAAAAAAAACATTGTTTTCAACACCATAGTATACTAGTTTTCCCCACCCCCACTTCTTCACAGTTTCACTATCTGCAGCTTCACTTACCCACAGACAGCCATGGTCTGAAAATAGTACATGGAAAATTCCAGAAATGCATAATTCATAAGTTTGAAGTTGTGTGCCAACTCTGAGTAGTATTCTAAAATCTTAGGCCACCCCTCTCCAACCCACCTGGGACATAAACCATCCATTTGTCCAGTGTATCCATGCTGTATATGCCACCCACTCAGTACGCTAGTCACTCAGTAGCTGCCTCAGCTATCAGATCAGCTGTCACAGTATTGCAGTGTTTGTGTTCAAGTAAACCTTAGTTTACTTAATAATGGCCCCAAAATGCAAGAGTAGTGATGCTGGCAACTCAAACACGCCAAAGAAAAGCTACAGTGTTCCCTGGGTGAAAATGTGAAAGTTCTCAACTTAAGCAAAGAAAAAAAAAGTCATGTGCTGATGTTGCAAAGATCTACATTAAGTCACTGATAATATCTTATTGTGCTTAATTTATAAATTAAACTGTATCATAGGCATGTACATACAAGAGTACATTAAAAACCTCATGGAAAATTGAATTAAAAGATAAGTTTATTTTGATACAAAACTTTTAAAATCCATGATTAGTTTTCTCATAATATGCATTTTCCATGAACTTTAAGGACCCCCCTCATATGCATGGATTGTGAAGTTTTTTTTTTTTTGCACCAAAATAAACATATTTTAATTCCATTTTCCATGACATTTTTGAAGTCTCCTTGTATAGGGTTCAGTACAATCTACAGTGTTAGGCAGCCATTGTAACATATCCCTTACAGATAAGGCAGAACTACTGTAACTGAAAATACCACCACACACAGGAGTCTACACTCTACCATGTATATTCACTGAATGTACTCTGCAGCCACCATGCTATGTTGGCCTGAGCATTCTGATCACTGCCAAGTAGACAAAGCAACATAGCTTAATCAAGAAAGCTGCTACATCTCATTTAGAAAACCACCCAATTCAATATGGACCACTGGACTTAGTCCAAACCAGAGTCTGTCTGATCCAGCAGAAACACTGCTACTTACGAGGACAGCACAATGGCCACAGCATCATTCAGGACACTTTCTCCAAACAGAAGTGCATAGAGATCCACGTCGGCGTGCAGCTCATTAAATATCGCCAGCACAGTCACTGAAAGATGGACCCAAAGCACAGTGATTAGCTTTGGTTTGGGGCTCCAAACTACTCATTACGGGTTTACAGAGGCAATTGGAGAAGCAGGCGGTTTGAGATACAGTGAGGGAGTAAGAGATAGACTGTCCAGGGCAGAAATGAAAAGGCCATGGACGTGCTGTTTGAGTCTAATGATACGGCCCCCAACCATCACGTTTCCATGGTAATCCCTTCATGCCTTGAGAAGCCATGCCACAGGACTTGAACACACAATCACAATCCACGTGGCTTGGCTCCATCAGTGGGTTGGAACCTCTTTGAAAGCAGAAATCCCACCACCGGGGCAGGGCCCAGAGATGACTCTAATAAAGCTCTGTGAAACGATCAAAGTCTTCATTTATGACTGACTCTACGTAATTCCACTCCGTGGAGTTTTCACATTTCTTAGGCATTTACAAATCAGTTATTCTCCACATCAGCTGTTCTCAGATTTGAGCCTCATGACTCCTTCACATTGTTAAAAATTGAGGCTTTAAGACCGTTAGTTTTGTGGGTAACAGCTATCAATATTCACTGCATCGCAAGAAACAGGAAAAATATTCATCCATTTACAATTAACATAAAGAGTCTTCAAAACATTTAAGGAAAATATATACTGTGAAAAAATTATGTATGGGTTTGCTTCGGCAGCACATATTCTAAAATTGGAACGATGCAGAAAAGGTTAGCATGGTCCCATGTGCAAGAATGACACACAAATTCATGAAGTGTTCCATATTTTTATGTAGAGAAAGCATTTGATAAGATTCAACACACTGGCCGGCGCCGCGGCTCACTAGGCTAATCCTCCACCTTGCGGCACTGGCACACCGGGTTCTAGTCCCGGTCAGGGCGCCAGATTCTGTCCCTGTTGCCCCTCTTCCAGGCCAGCTCTCTGCTGTGGCCAGGGAGTGCAGTGGAGGATGGCCCAAGTGCTTGGGCCCTGCACCCCATGGGAGACCAGGGTAAGTACCTGGCTCCTGCCATCGGATCAGCGCGGTGCGCCGGCCGCGGCGGCCATTGGAGGGTGAACCAACGGCAAAGGAAGACCTTTCTCTCTGTCCCTCTCTCTCACTGTCCACTCTGCCTGTCAAAGAAAAAAAAAAGATTCAACACACTGTCATGATATAAACTTTTCACAAATTAGGTATAGAAGGAACATTCCTCAAAATCACAAACCAACAACCAATATCATACTGAATGGGGGAAAGCTGAAAGCATTTCCCCTCAGATCTGGAATAAGACAAGGATGTCCACTTTCACCACTCTTATTCAATATAATACTGGAAGTTTTAGCTAGAGCAAATAAGGCAGAGAAAGAACTAAAGGCCATCAAAATTGGAAAGAGGAAGTCAAATTATCCATGTCTACAGATGACATGATGTTGTACATGGAAACACCTAAACACTCCACCAGAAAGCTGTTAGAATTGATGAAGCAAATTTGCAGATTACAAAATAAACATACAAAAAACAGTAGCTTTTTTGTATGCTAATGATGAACTCACTGAAAGAGAAATCAAGGAAGAAATCCCATTCATAATAGCCGCAAAAATATCAAATATGTAGGAATAAATTCAACCAAAGAAGTGAAAGCTCTACAATGAAAACTATCAAACATCGATGAATCAAATAATCAAGGACATAAAAAAATGGAAAGATATTCCTTGCTCATGGATTGGAAGAATTAGTATCATTAAAATGTCTATACCACCTAAAGCAATCTACAGATTCAATACAATCCTTATCAAAATATCAATGGCATTATTTACAAAGTTAGAAAAAGCAATCCTACAATTCATATGGAATCATAAAAGATCTCAAATAGTCAAAGCGATCATGAGCAAGAAAAACCAAGCTGGAGGCATCACAATACCTGATTTCAAGCACACTGCAAATCTATAGTAATCAAAACAGCATAAAAACCAATACATAGATGAATGGAGCAGAACAGCAAGCCCAGGAATTAATCCACATATATACAGTCAACTGATGTTTGACAGAAGTACTCAGACCACACAGTGGAGTAAGGATAATGTCTTCAACAAATGGTGCTGGCAAAACTGGATTTATATATGTAGAAGAATGAAATTAGATTCACACCTCTCATCATATATAAAAAATCAACTCAAGATGGATCAAAGACCTAAATTTAAGTCCTGAGACTATGAAGTTGCTGGAAGAAATCATAGGGGACCACTACTTGGACAAGACCCCCAAAGCATAGGCAACAAAAGCAAAACTAAAGTGAATATATCAAAGTCAGAAACTTTTGCATATCAAAGAAAATGATCAATAGAGTGAAGAAACATCTAACATATGGGAAAATATTTGCAAACCACTTATCTGACAAAGGATTAATATCCTGAATATATCAACAACTTCAAAAATGCAACAACGAAAAAACAACCAATCCAGTTGAGAAATGGGCAAAGGACTTTAACAATTCTCAAAAGAAGAAATACACATGGCTGACAAATATGAAAAAAATGCTCAACATCACTAGCCATTAGGGAAAATTCAAATCAAAACCACAATGAGGTATCACCTTACCCCTGTCAGAATGGCTAAAATCCAAAACATAGAGACCAACAAATACTGACAAAGATGTGGACAAAGGGGAGCACGTATATACTGTTGGCAGGAATGTAAATTGGTGTAGCCACTGTGGAAAACAGTGTGGAGATTTCTTTAAAAACTAGAAATAGAGTTGCCATATGATCCAGCAATCCCACTACTGGGCATACACCCAAAAGAGATGAACACAATATATCAAAGAGATACCTGCACCACCATGTTCATAGCAGCACTGTTCACAACAGCCAGAATTTGGAATTTACCAAGGTATCCATCATCAGATGAATGGATAAAGAAAATGTGGTATATATACACAATGGAATATTATTCAGCTATAAAAAAGAGTGAAATTCTACCACTGGCAGCAAAATGGACACAACTGGAGGACATCATGCTGAGTGAAATAAACTGAACATAGAAAGACAAATACATCATGTTCTCCCTTACATGTGGGAGCTAAAACTTAAAAAACAAACAGAAAGAAATGCCTGTGTGTATCAATACTGCTGCAAATACAGTTTTGTAAAATTTTGTTTTAGAGGTCGACACTGTGGCACAGCGGGTTAATGCTCTGGCCTGAAGTGCCGGCATCCCATATGGGCACCAGTTTGCGACCCGGCTGCTCCACTTCTGATCCAGCTCTCTGCTGTGGCCTGGGAAAGCAGTAGAAGATGGCCCAAGTCCTTGGGCCCCTGCACCCACATGGGAGACCCGGAGGAAGCTTCTGGCTTCGGATCAGCACAGCTCTGGCCATTATGGTTAATTGAAGAGTGAACCAGCAGATGGAAGACCTCTCTCTCTGCCTCTCCTCTCTCTGTGTAACTCTGACTTTCAAATAAATAAATAAATCTTTTGAAAAAATTTGCTTTAGACCTTTGTGAAACCAATGGTTAAAAATGTTATACTATTATAGTTCTAATGATCTGTGATTGAAGTTTACTGTATATGGGTGAAATGGTCATTTTTCCATTCAATTACTGTTTATAGCTGTGGTCTATATTCCCGCAAAACTAGGGTCTTCTTGCTTTTTACTTGTCAAACTTCTTATCTTATGAAGTATTAAGCCTTTTCATTGTAATGTAAATTTAAAATGTTACCTCAAAAACTAAAAGAAAGGGAGAGGAAAGGAGGGTGGGAAGGAGAAAGGGAGAGGGAGGAAAAAAGGGAATGTCATTCTATTCCTAGAATTATATCTATAAATCTCATTCAATCTGTTAAAAACTAGTTAAAAATTAAAATAGAAAAAGAAATGTACAATTTAAAACTGAGTCCCAATAAAGCTTTATCTGGAAAAGAAAAAAAAAAGGAAAATTATGCACGTAATTTTTTAAAATAATTTTTTAAAATAAGCTTATCTTTCAATTCAATTGTCCATGAACTTTTTGAAGTTCTTTGTGATAACCCATTATATGTTAACATAACATTTTTTTAAAGATTTTATTTATTTATTTGACAGGTAGAGTTACAGACAGTGAGAGAGAGAGAAACAGAGAGAAAGGTCTTCCTTCTGTTGGTTCACTTTCCAAATGGCCGCAACAGCCAGAGATGCACTGATCCGAAGCCAGGAGCCAGGCGCCTCCTCCTGGTCTCCCATGCAGGTGCAGGGGCCCAAGGACTTGGGCCATCCTCCACTGCTTTCCCAGGTCATAGCAGAGAGTTGGATCAGAAGAGGAGCAGCCGGGACTCAAACCAGCGCCTATATGGGATGCTGGAGTCGCAGGTGGAGGATTAACCTAGTGGCACCACAGCGCCGGTCCCAACACAACATATTTTTAAGAAAAATTTTTGTTTTCCAAAAAGAAAAAAAAGTGAGTGAAGACAGCCATTGTTTTACATTTTTGCAAATTTCTTTAAACATCTGATTACTGAAAAACAGAGGGTTCACTTATCTGTCAAGTAACAGAGTCAACATTACATGTTATGTAGCCTCTGAAAAATTTCACTGTATGCTTGTGAGAGAAGAAGCATAAAAAAATGGGTGCTGATGGACCCCCTGAAAGGGTCTGCAGGACCCACAAGGGTCCCCAGGCCACATCTGGAGAACCACTGCTTCAGTGCAGGGTTTCCCCACCTCTGTCGCATTGCCATTTCAGGCCTGATAATGTCTGTTGTAGAGGGCTTGTCTGTGCATCATAGGACAGTTAGCAGCAGCCCCGGCCTCTACCCACTAGATGTCAGTAGCGCTGCACCCTTCAACTGTAATGAATAAGACTGTCTCTAAACCTCCTTACCATAAACATTTATGTGTTTAAGCTGATATATCAGAGGCAGGTTTTTCTGTTATTTGCAGCCAAAGGCATGAGTAACCAATATAAGCAGAAAACCAAGCAAGATGGATGTGTAAGTTTCATGAGTTGTTACGAACCAATAGTCTTGTAAGCACCAGAAATGGAACTCTGCTGGTTCCCCTGGAAACCCTGCCTCCAGATGTCCCACCCTAACATCAAACCCCTCCTTTCAGTCAAAAAGAACCATTAACCAGAATTTTATAGTAAGCACTTCCTTGACATGCCTTGTAGTTTGATCACCCAAATGCATATCCTGTGATACTATCATGTTTTTAAAGTTCATTTATTTACTTGAGAGAGGGAGAGATGGAATATCTTACATGCACTGGTTCACTCCCCAAATGCCTACAACTGCTGGGGTTGTGCCAGACTGACGCCAGGAGCCAAGAACTCCACCTGGGTCTTCCACAATGGGTACCAGAGACTCAAATACTTGAGCCAACATTTGCACATTAGCAGGAAGCTGGAACGGAAGTGGAGGTGGGACTTATCCCAGACATTCCCTATGGGATGTGGATGTCCTAAGCAATGGTTTAACCTGCTGCACTACAACAACACCCATCCATGTCCATTTTTTAAATTTCAATTGACACATAATTATATACATTGATGAGGTAGAATGTGATGTTTCAATCCAAGTACACATTGTGATGTGATCAAATCATGGCAGTTAGCATAGCCATCACTACAAATGTAGTGCAAACATTCTGAATCCTCTCTACTAGCTATTTTGAAATATACATTAGAATACTGTTAACCTTAATTACTCTTCTGCACACTAGAACATCAGAACTTCTCTCTCCTGTATAACTGGAACTTGGTACCCAATGACCAACCTTTTCTGAGTTTCCCTCCCCTCCCCCTTTCACCATGTTAGCA